GTTGCTTGCTTGGTACCTGACGTCATAGAATGTGAACTCCCACTATAACTTGTTAGATCTACATGTAGTGTAGGCCATCGGAAGTATAAACCAGCGGCTGCCAGACAGGATACACCCCTCATTTTCGAGAGATGGATAGACAACAAGCTAAAAATAAAGTGATTTTTTCTACAATCAAGGGAAATAATTCAGGAAATTACAATTCGATATGCGCAAATATCGAAAGGAACCAAGATCTTTGTGTTATAAACTTACATTTCAAGTTTCAACAAAATTGGATAACCAGCGGCTGCCAGGCAGGATACGCCCACATTTTCGAGAGATGGATAGAGAACAAGCTAACAAGAAAGTGATTTTTCCTACTATTGAAGGGCCATAATTCAGGAAATTACAATTCAATATGAGCAAATATTGAAAGGAACTGAGATCTTTGTGTTATAAACTTACATTTCAAGTTTCAACAAAATCGGATAAAAATTGTGACCTCTATAGGGTCCACAACCTTGATATACCATATTTTTACGCTATTTGAGAAGGAACGGTGGCCATTTTGTATGTCAAATTTGGGTTGATTTTCACGAAATTCGAATTCAGTCGTCCTTAGGGAGTAACAGTGATATAATAATACAGTTTTATAAATCGGATAAAAATTATGACCTCTATAGGGTCCACAAGCTAAAAACGCGATTTTTCGTACAATCAGGGGCCATAATTCAGGAAGTTACGGTCCGATATGCGCGAATATCGAAAGGAACTGAGACCTTTGTATGCCATTTTGTATGTCAAATTTGGGTTGATTTTCACGAAATTCGAATTCAGTCGTCCTTAGGGAGTAACAGTGATATAATAATACAGTTTTATAAATCGGATAAAAATTTTGACCTCTATATGGTCCACACGCTAAAAACGTGATTTTTCGTACAAACAGGGGCCATAATTCATGAAGTTTCGATCCGATACATGCCAATATCGAAAGCAGACGAGATCTTTTGGAGATAAACCTATATTTTAAGTTTCCTCAAAATTGGATAAGAATTGTGACCTGTAGAGTGTCCACAAACAAATTGTGGACGGACGGACGGACAGGGGCGACGAAAATATACGTCCACATGAAAATGTAGGCGTATAAAAACGAAACGAAATATAGATAATAATAATAATAATATCATTTATATAGCGCTAGTCCACACAGAGTATGCTCATAGCGCTTGTGATTCAGTTCTGTACAATGAAAGTTCAATACCAAGGCACCACTAAACATAACGTTTAAATAAATACGTCTTCAATAAGGTTTAAAATGTTGATAAGGATGGAGATTTTTTTAGGTGGATAGGAAGATTGTTCCAGTATACTGCAGCAGTGTATTTAAAAGATCACGCACCAAAAGATTTCAAGTTGTAATTAGGAATCGTTAGAAGAAGTTTATCATTTGATCGAAGGTTTCTAGACGAGGAATGGTGGTGGACAAGATCTTGTAGGTATGAAGGTGCTGTTCCATTCACTGATTGATATGTCAGACACAGCAATTTGAATTCAATCCGCTCATTTATCCGAAGCCAGTGTAAAGAAGTCAATACAGGAGAAATGTGTTCACGTGGGTTTGTTTTGCAGATTATTCTGGCGGCTTTGTTTTGTATTCTTTGTAAACGTTGTGATTGTTCATGTGTTATGCCAATTAAAATACTGTTGCAGTAGTCAAGTCGGGAAATGACCAAACAACGAACTAGTGTTGATGCAGCATCTTCGGTGATCAGATGGCGTATTGATCCAATATTCCTGAGATGATAACTACAGGTTTTACATAGAGAACTAATGTGGGATTCCATAGAAAGATTATTGTCCATAATCAGACCAAGATTTCTAACTGATGTTTTAAAGTTTATAACTGATTGTTCAATATATAGACTCCACATTTTTCTAGTCTGCGAGCAGGACCTACAACTAGGATTTCAGTCTTGTCAGAATTTAGCTTCAACATGTTGGTATCCATCCAGAATTTCACATTTTTGATACAGGCTTCCATATGGGAGCAGGTTAGGTTTTGACTGACATTGTCTGGTTTAAAAAAGTCAATGATCTCTATTTTAATTAGATTGATTTTTGTCCTGTATATGCTTCATGAGTGTTTTTTTGGGAATCCAGTATTTTTCTAGTAAGATTGGATATCTCTACTTTCTATATATATATACCAAAATTACCATACTTTTATTGGAAATAATCACCCGATAAATACTTTTCTGGGAACCCATCTTTAAGTATTTTATATGTTCAATATATGCTGATTTTGAAGATTTTCATGAAATTCAAACTCAACCAACAATACGGTGTAACGTTGAGATATTCGAACGTTTTTTTAAATCAGATAATAATTGTGACCTCTTGACGGACCACAAGCTAGAAACGCGATTTTCGTACAATCAGGGGCCATAATTCAGGAAGTTACGATCCGATATGTGTGAATATCGAAAGGAACCAAGATCTTTGGGTTATAAACATGCATTTCAAGTTTATCAAAATCGGGTGAAAATTGTGACTTATAGAGAGTCCACAACCTTGATATACCACATTTTTACACTATTATCGTACGAGGCGCGGCCATTTTGGTCTGATTTTCACGAAATTCGAACTCAACCATCATTAGGATGTAACTGTGAAATATTCAAATGTTTTTTTTTTTAAATCGGATAATAATTGTGACCTTTAGAGGGACCACAAGCTAAAAACGTGATTTTTCATACGATCAAGGGCCATAATTCAGGAAGTTCCGATCCGATATGGGCGAATATCGAAAGGAACCAAGACCTTTGTGATATAAGCATCAATTTACGGTTGCATCAAAATCTGAAAACCAGCGGCTGCCAGGCAGGATACGCCCACATTTTCGAGAGATGGATAGACAACAAGCTAAAAAGAAAGGATTTTTCATACAATCAGGGGCCATAATTCAGGAAGTTACTGTCCGATATGCGCGAATATCGAAAGGAACCGAGATCTTTGGGTTATAAACTTACATTTCAAGTTTCAACGAAATCGGACAAAAATTGTGACCTCTATAGGGTCCACAACCTTGATAAACCATATTTTTACGCTATTTGAGAACGAAGGGCGGCCATTTTGTCTGTCAGTTTTGGGCCTATTTTCACGAAATTCGAACTCAGACGTCCTTAGGGTCTAACGGTGATATAATAATTCAGTTTTTTAAATCAGATAAAAATTATGACCTCTATGGGCTTCACAAGCTTAAATCGCGATTTTTCGTACAATCAGGGGCCATAATTCAGGAAGTTACGTTCCGATATGTGTGAATATCGAAAGGAACCGAGATCTTTGGGTTATAAACTTACATTTCAAGTTTCATAAAAATAGGATTAAAATTGTGACCTCTATAGGGTCCACAACCTTGATATACCATATTTTTACGCTATTTGAGAACGAAGGGCGGCCATTTTGTCTGTCAGTTTTGGGCCGATTTTCACGAAATTCAAACGTTTTTTTAAATCGGATAAAAAATTATGACCTTTATAGGGTCCACAAGCTAAAAACGCGATTTTTCGTACAATCAGGGGCCATAATTCAGGAAGTTACGGTCTGATATGCGCGATTATCAAGGGAACCGAGATCTTTGGGTTATAAACTTACATTTCAATTTTCAACAAAATCGGATAAAAATTGCGACCTCTATAGGGTCCACAACCTTGAAATACCATATTTTTACGCTATTTGAGAACGAACGGCGGCCATTTTGTCTGTCAATTTTGGGCCGATTATCACGAAATTCGAACCCAGCCTTCCTTAGGGTGTAACGGTGATATAATAAAACGTTTTTTTAAATTGGATAAAAATTATGACCTCTTTAGGGTCCACAAGCTAAAAACGCGATTTTTCGTACAATCAGGGGCCATAATCCAATATGGCAATATCGAAAGCAGCCGAGATCTTTTGGGGATAAACCTATATTTCAAGTTTCGTCAAAGAATTGTGACCTGTAGAGAGTCCACAAACAATTGTGGACTGACGGACAGGGGCGACGGCATAATACGTCCACATGAAAATGTGGGCGTATAAAAATCGTGGCCTCTAGAGGGTCTACAACCTTGATATACCACATATTCACACCATTTGCGTTTTACGAGGGGCGGTCATTTTGTCCGCCAATTTTGGTCCGATTTTTATGAAATTCGAACTTGGCCATCATTATGGTGTAACAGTGATGTATTCACACGTTTTTTTTAAATCGGATAATAATTGTGACCTTTTGATGGACCACAAGCTAAAAACGTGATTTTTCGTACAGTCAAGGACCATAATTCAGGAAGTTACGATCCGATATGCGCAAATATCGAAAGAACCAAGATCTTTGGGTTATTAACATTTATTTCAAGTTTCATCAAAATCGGATCAAAATTTTGAGCTCTAGAGGGTCCACAACCTTGATATACCATATTTTTTACACTGTTTGTGTTCGAGGGTCGGCCATTTTGTCCGATTTTCACGAGATCTGAACTCAACCATCATTATGGTGCAATGGTGATATATTCAAACGTTTTTTAAATTGGAATAAAATTGTGACTTCCAATTTTTCATACAATCAGGGGCCATAATTCAGGAAGTTATGGTCCGATATGTATGCGCAAATATCGAAAGGAACCAGGAACCGAGATCTTTGTGTTATAAAGTTACATTTCAAATTTCCACAAAATTGGTTCAAAATTGTGACCTCTATAGGGTCCACAAGCTAAAAACGTGATTTTTCAAACCATCAGGGGTAATAATCCATGAAGTTTCGATCCGATTCATGCCAATATCGAAAGCAACTAAGATCTTTAGGAGATAAACCTGTATTTCAAGTTTTGTCAAAATCGGATAATGAATTGTGACGGACGGGGGCGACGATAATATATGTCCATATGAAAATGTGTCGTATAAAAATTAAATCATTGATCCAAATTTGAAAATACTGTGTTTCTTGAAATTGTCATCAAAAATGTAAAAATATTTACCCTGTTTGAAAATAACAAGTGGTGTATTTCCTACTTCATCAACATAAACTTGACTACAGAAACCGATCTCTCTTGACGTAGGTGGTGCCTGAAATTTAAAGATAAACTGTCAGGCAATGAAATATACGCTCATATAGATTAGATGTTAACTTTTGTCATTCGGGTGTTCACAAGTTGAAACAGGGGAACTCTAAAAAGTAATTAATGGAAATTGTTGAAATCCAATACGGTAATAGGCTAATATGAAACAACATATATAAATTTGATAAAGATCGGATGATAAATGTAGCCTTTTAATCCAGGAGCTAATGACAAAATAATATGGTCATTAGTTACAAAAGGTTTGACCGCCAAAATCTGTAGCAGGTGTCAGTATGAGTGTGACTCAACCATCCTTACGGTGTAACGGTGATATACTAAAACGTTTTTTAAATCGGATAAAAATTATGACCTCTATAGGGTCAAGCTAAAAACGCGATTTTACGTAAAATCAGGGGCCATAATTCAGGAAGTTACGGTCTGATATGAATGAATATCAAAAGAAACTGAGATCTTTGGGTAATAAACTTATATTTCAAGTTTCAACAAGATCGGATAAAAATTGTGAACTCTATAGGGTCCACAAGCTAAAAACGCGATTAATCCATGCCAATATCAAAAAGAACCGAGATCTTAGGGAGATAAACCTATCGGATAAAAATTGTGACCTGTAGAGTGTCCACAAACAATTGTGGACGGATGGACGGACAGGAGCGACGTATAAAAATCAATTGGTCAGATAGGGCACTGCTGGGGCGTATCCACCGCAGTGCCTTAAAGTAGCACCCGTGGGGCCAAAAATTAGGTCACAAGTTACATGACTGAAACTTTCTGGGGACAATGGCATACATAATCGGAGTAAGTATTTCACAAATCTAACCAAAATTTTCGGGGCTTTCCCCAAGTCATACCACACCCAATATCGCCTCACGGGGCTAAAGTATGTCCGACCACACCCTAAAAATGGGGCTTTTTATATGGTCATCAGTTACATGGCTGAAACTTACCAGAAACAAAGATTCACACTTTGTAAATTCAATTTTCAACTAGAACTGCAATGCAGTAATGACAGGTTTCACCGGTGCCACGTTACCATTGAGAGAGAGAAAGGGGGTTTAATGTCCACTCGACACAAACTAGGTCATTTTGGGACTAACATATGGTTTTAATTTAGCAGTCTTTAGCAGTGGGAGGAACCAATGAAACCGTTAAACCGATTTCCGCATTAACATTGCAAAAGTGTTATAAAATGGACACAGATTCAACTCAATCCAGCAATATCAATTCCATTTATACATTTGTTACCAAGGGTTGGATATGTCAAAAAAAGTGAAACTGACAAAATTTGTTACTAACTTACCGCTGACTATCTAATGTGATATCAAAATGCGACAAAAAATCTTAACCATCGGCTGCCAGGCAGGATACGCCCACATTTTCGAGAGATGGATAGAGAACAAGCTAACAAGAAAGTGATTTTTCCTACAACCAAGGGCCATAATTCAGGAAATTACAATTCAATATGCGCAAATATAGAAAGGAACTGAGATCTTTGTGTTATAAACTTACATTTCAAGTTTCAACAAAATCCGATAAAAAGTGTGACCTCAATAGGGTCCACAACCTTGATATACCATATTTTTACACTATTTGAGAACGAACGGCAGTCATTTTGTCTGCCAATTTTGCCGAAATTCGAACTCAGCCATCCTTAGGATGTAACGGTGATATAATAATATGGTTTTTTTAATCGGATAAAAATTATGACCTCTATGGGGTCAACAAGCTAAAAACGCGATTTTTCGTACAATCAGGGGCCATATTTCAGGAAGTTACGGTCAGATATGCGTGAATTTCGAAAGGAACCGAGATTTTTGGGTTATAAACTTACATTTCAAGTTTCAACAAAATCGGATAAAAATTGTGACCTCTATAGGGTCCACAACCTTGATATACCATATTTTTACGCTATTTGAGAAAGAACGGCAGCCATTTTGTCTGTCAATTTTGGGCCGATTTTCACGAAATTCGAACTCAGCCATCCTTAGGGTGTAACCTCTGTAGGGTCCACAAGCTAAAAACACAATTTTTGGTAAAATCAGGGGCCATAATTCAGGAAGTTACGGTCTGATATGCGCGAATATCGAAAGGAACCGAGATCTTTGGATTATCAACTTAGATTTCAAGTTTCAACAAAATCGGATAAAAATTGTGACCTCTATCACTGAGAAATAGGTAAAGGTTAAAACGTACGTTTGCCGTATTAAAAACTCGCAAAACGGTCAATACCTACGTATCTCAATAAAAAAAAATAAAATTCGGATTATAACTCCTCATTATGGCTTAAAATCTCTAGATAAGGTGTGTTAATTAACAAGGGTAAAAAATGGACTGAAAGGCGAGTTAATTATCGCTAGGTGTGAACAACTCTGGGACGGTGCGTTTTCTGTACTGAGTATGTTAATTAACCGACGGGTTAAAAACGAATGACACGGTGTGTATTGTTTAATTGGTGTGTTTTCTCGATAGTTGTTATAACTGCACCAAAAGGGTATAATCAAGGGCCAGCCGACTTTATCTGACGCGTGAGTGTTAAATGGAAACTTGGGAAGGAAAATTGTTTTTACCGTGCGATTTTTCATTCGCCGGTGTGTTTTTCGCAAATAGGACTTTGTATAAAGACAGGTCTTTATATGTGGAAGTTGTACGGGGCTGTTTCTTCTATGCATCTTTTGTATAAAATTTGTTGATGAACATAAGACGCAGTACGTGTTTTATAGTCACGCCACTTATAAAGTTGCATAATAAAATATAAATATGGACCCTAATCTGTCGTAAAAAGGTGAAAACAATGTCGTCATTTATAAGTATCCAGCAGTCAGGCCCCAATTTGAATATATCCGGGTATATAGCGATAAGCTAAATTTACCGTATGTCTATATATATTCTTTTGTTCTGACAATTTATTGTTTTGCGGGTTGAAATTAGTACCACGTAAACGGTAACTCATTGCCGGTTTATTGTTTTGCGTGTTGAAATGAGTACCGCGCAACCCGTAGCTCATAGCCAGTTTATTGTTTTGCGTGTTGAAATTAGTACAATGTACGTAACCCGTACTTGTTTCGTTGCAACTTTTAATAGATAACCATTTGGCAATTATATTTATATTATAAACAAAAAAATGTTAGCTGTTCAATAATAATTGTTATATAGCCAGCGTATTTAACAATCATCACATAGATGGTTTCCTATACCGTTAGGGTTTGAACAGTGTTTCATTAATAATTAATTAGACCTAGCAAAACTTATTTAACAATCGTCACATATAGATGGTTTCCATAGCGGTCAGATTAAAGTACATAGTTGAGTATTGGTGGGAGGACATATGAAATTTCATATATTATATAAATCCCATGTAATTTCGTCAAATCACTTCATTGTGGAAGCGGGCGCTACATTAAGTTATTTGAGACACACTCTTCTATAATTAAACTAATTTTCTTTACGATGTCGGTTCGATATCAGTGTTGGTGTACGCGTTGTGATGAAGTGAAGAATATAATCGTCGAACTGTCAAGGAACACATCGTAGCCGAAAGAGACAGAGGGATTATTAAAAGATGTATTGCATAATGGTGTTTATTTTGCCATCCGGTTTAACAGTTCGCCGGATAATGAAATGTCCTTACAAATAGTCAGGACCCACATAATGCGCACAATAATAAATTTTCTGAAATAATAATTCAAACAAGTCAAATGATTAATTGATTCCAAGTATATATCATGGCATGTCAGTACAGACTACTGCAATAAGAGTTATTTTCTTTATTACAAATAATCACAAATAACCAAATCAAAATAAGACAATAATCGTCATAAATTTATTCACATTTTTGATATTTTCAATAATACCATTATTGATCATGAAAGCTAATTAATAGCTGAGAGACTAATCTTGTCGGCTCATAATCTTAATTGGTTAATTAACACATCAGTGTTATAAACTCTACCAAATGTTGACTCATCTGATTGTGTATTGGTCTGTTTATAAAGTTTAACACTGATATGTTTATTACCCGAGATTATGAGCCGATTATAAGATTAGCCAACATATGATTTTACCATAATATATTAACATGGAGTTTTAAAGTTATAAAAGAGAAACCAACATATTTTTGAAAATCAATATTAATTTCATTTTCAGAGAACGTCTATTGGAAAATTGTTAGCTGATCCAACAGATTCCCCATTCCCCACATTGCAAAACAGATCAACATGTCAAATCGATTCAGTTACTGGTATAAGGTTTTAAAATATATATTTTTTTATACTTTAACTTATAAATGCAACACACAAACTGCTTACCTTATTTATACAATAGACGATAAATATCCCAAAGAATAACCCGGTTCAGTTTCTTTCCAATAATTATCACAAAAAAAAATCATTAAATTTCATTTTTCCAGAAATAGCCTAACAAAAAAGCGTGTATTAGTTAAAGGGGCATGGTGCGATATAAGGGATGATTTTTGTGCCAAATTACAAAAATTATCACCACCGGTTAAGGAATGATTTTATTGACAGGAGTATGTCAACTGCGAATATGATGATCAAGTATTCTTTTCACACGCTGCATGCGCCAACCTTCAAGTCTATACCGATTCAAAAATTTAATTATCTCTCATATCCACAATTTTTAAAGCCTGAGTTTTATCGTAAATAAAATTAATAGAATCCGTTGTAACCTACTGGTAATACATGATGTAAATTGCAGGAGATGGGGTGTGCTATTCATCAGAGCCCGTTCGTAATTTAGCCATGACAACGGCACATATTCTGTGTGAAAATCCAGATTGGTCGCGTCCCAATGATTTCTTACTACAAGGACGTAACTAGCTCAGAGAAACGATGAGGTGGGGAGTGTTCTCAAGGGGTGCTGTAAAATTGACGGACAATGTATATCTATTGTTTTTATGGACGACAATTTTTTCAAAGGGGGGGGGCTTTGCCCCACCTGCCCCTTAGTTACGGGCCTGACTTACTGACAATA